GCAGACAGGCTCACCCTGTAATGCACACACCGCAGATGGTCACCCACGCTGCACGCCCTGCAGACAGGCTCACCCTGTAATGCACACACCATGGATGGTCACTCATGCTGCACGCCCTGCAGACAGACTCACCCCTGCAATGCACACACCACGGATGATCACTCATGCTGCATGCCCCACAGACAGGGTCACCCCTGCAATGCACACACCGCGGATGGTCACCCACACCGCATACCCTGCAGACAGGCTCACCCCTGCACTGCACACACCATGGATGGTCACTCATGCTGCACGCCCTGCAGACAGGCTCACCCTGTAATGCACACACCGCAGATGGTCACCCACGCTGCACGCCCCGCAGACAAGCTCACCCCTGCAATGCACACACCGCGGATGGTCACTCATGCTGCACGCCCTGCAGACAGGCTCACCCTGTAATGCACACACCGTGGATGGTCACCCACACTGCATACCCTGCAGACAGGCTCACTCCTGCACTGCCCGAGCCACGGACGGTCACCCACGCTGCACACCCTCCAGACAGGCTCACCCCTGCACTGCCCGAGCCACGGATGGGCCTTCTACACCTGCATTTGCCACCATGACCCTGTCATCAGCAGTCAGACGGCACCCTTCACCAGGTAGCCGGGTTCCTCAATGCCACACCCCCTGGCCCCATCAGCCCCCTTCACCAGGCATTGGGAGGGTCCTCAATGCCACGTCCCCTGCCCCCCAGCAGCCTCCAAGTGCCGCTTACCAGGCAGCAGGGGGTCCTCGATGCACAGCATGGACGGTCTGTAGCCACTGGGCATGGCTTTCATGATCTCCTCCTTGGCCACGTAGGCGCCACCCTCCTTTATCCTGATGCCCGTCTTCAGGTAGTTGAAGTTCCTCCCGTACAGCTCGAAGAACTCCACCAAAAGCATCCCGAGGTTCTCGTCCGCCCTCCGGGCGTCGATCCGTGGGTGCAGCTGTGGAAACAGCACAGGCAGTGTGGGGACTGGCTCAAGTCCCTCTCAGGACAGTGTGCACGCTGAGCAGCTGTCCTGCAGGCTCCGGGCCGTCCAGCACAGTGGCTGTCCTTCACTGGCCCAGCCACATACCCTGAGCAGGGCCGGACACCAGCAGGGCATGAACGGCCTTGGCCTGTAAAGCCCCTGGACAGACTGGACACTGCCCTGAGGTTCCATCCTGCCCTGGAATTCTCTGGAGGCAGTCATACATGGCCTCTCCCTGCAAACACAGGCATCATCAACCACCTGCCCCCAAATGCTGCTAACAAGCTGGCTGTGTCCTGCAGAACTCAGTCACGATTGTGAATGGAAGCCCGCTGGGGACAGCACTGGACTGACTCGGGTGCCAGCACCACAGAACCAGAGTCACACAGTCACCTGTGACCCGCACAGGGATCAGCAGCACAGCCTCCATGACAGCCAGCTCTCCCCACACCCACTGTCAAGTCAAGTCAGCACCAGGCAGCTGAAGGCCATGTCCTGAGCCTGGGCCACACCCACCAGCTGGTGCCACATGTCTGAGAGACAGTCACACATCCACTGGGGGACCTGCCTGGGCCACATCCACCAACCAGGGCCAGGTGTCCGTGACAGTCACACATCCATCAGGGAAGGTGCCCGGTCTGTGTGACAGTCACACGTCCGTCAAGGTCCCTGCCTGTGGCCTGTCGTATCCACACTCAGCACATTTCAATCTGAACCCTGGCTTTCCAGCCACAGTGGTCACTGGGTCCCGGGTGAGTGGCCCCGGAGCATCTCCCAGCACAGCTGAGCACCAGAGGAGGCCTCAGGGCACAGAGCTGTTCCAACACGCAGCACCCTTCCTCAGTCTGGACAGACAGGACACAGAGCCGAGCCTGCCCTATGGGTGACTCGGCCACAAAGCAGCGAAGGATGGAGTCGTGGCCTGGAGAGCCTCTGATAATCAAGAGCAAAGGTCGACCTGCACCCCAGGCCCTTGGAGCACACGAGCCCCGGGGCACGCGGGGCTGAGGGTCAGGAGCCAAGTGGCGTACCTGCAGGAAGCTGATGGCCATGAGGATGAGGCTGTAGGAGCTGATGCCCCCCGTGAACACCTCATTCAGGTCCCTCTGCAGCAGGAACTGCTTGAGCACTAAGATCAGGTAGGGCAGCAGCGCGTACTTCTGTGCGTCCCAGAGAGAAGAGAGGAGACGTCACGGCCCACCCTCGGATCGCTCCGAGGCCGCGTCCCACAGCAAGTCGCATGCTCGGCTCACTCAGCTGACCCACTGCCTGGCTGACGGCCGGGCTCAACCACCCTCATGGTGCAGGTCTGAGAACCAAGCACCAGGGTCCAATCCAGCCAGGGTGGCCACCGAGGCGACAATCGGGAGGGGCTGTTGTGAAGCGTCTGCTACCCTGGCAGCCGCACAGCAGGCCCAGGGCGTGCAGGCAGGGGCGAGGCAGCGGGGGAGGGGAGGCCCAGGGGCCAGTCCCGACACCTCGCCATCCAAGGGGCAAAGCAAGCATGGGGGGGCGACAGGACCAGAGACCCCCACAGCAGCACCACTGACATCTGCCACGGACGGGTCTTCTGGAGAGGCGGGGGTGGGAGGGCAGACCGCGGGCAGCTAAGCAGGGAGCCGTGGGCAGAGGAAGGGAAACGCTTGCCACACTCCCGCTCTGTGGGCTGGAAGGGCCCTGCAGGAAGAGGTGGTGCCAAGGAAGGCACCAAGCGAGGGTCCTGGAAGAGACGTTCTCGACTCCAGGTGGCGGCTTCGCCTGGAGTCAGAGCTCTGCCTCCTACAGCGGAGTGAAGGCGTGTCAGTTCCCTTAGCCCACGGACACACTGGTGCTCACGAGTCAGTGAGGGCCAGGAGCAAGCCTGCCCCGTCTGCTGGCAGAAGCCCTCAGTGCAGAACCCAAGCTACGTGTGGTTCACGTGCCCTCTGACGGGCGCTGATCTGCGGCTGCAGCGTCCTTCCAGTCCTGGGAAGGCTGACCTGCCAAAGCCGCGCACCGCAAGGCTCGGCTTCACGAACGGGCAACCCAAAGCACAGCTCTGCCTGTGCCTGTGTGCGGCGGCCCTGGCCAAGACGCTGCGGGGTAAGCGCCCTCACCGACCATGTGCTACACTCGAGGTGGGCAGTCACAGCCTAACACCCACGTTCCTGAGAGCAGCAGTGGCTGCCGGCGCCTGGCGTGGACGGCGAGACTGACCTTCATGTAACTCTTGATGAGCTCTGCAGCCCGCACGCCTGTCTCTACGTTGAAACTGATGTCGACTTTGACTTCCGTCTCCTGGTCGGTGAGCTTGATTATGGGAACCTGCAGCGATGGCATTAGGAAAAGGGGGTGATGAGTGCCTATGCGCCCACACAGCCTGGGCTTCTCCTCACTCGCACAATGGTCTGAGAGAACCCTCACTCTCAGACTCACAGTGAGAAGGGACTGGGTCAGCTCTACCTGTGCTGGGCCCTCAGAGAGCCCGTCCTGCCTGTGTGCCCGCCACCCTGGGCTGATTGTGGCCACTGCGTCCTGCGACGGGGAGGAGGAG